TCCATCACACACAGGCATCCTCTGAGAACCATGGGACCTGGGGAATCAGCTAGTGCTGCTCCTTCCTTTCCCATCTAGACCAGAGGGATAAAGGTCTGTGTGAGTTCAAAACCTGATGCCTTATGTGGCTCTGGTTTCCCTGTTTATCTCTGTTACCTTTTGGAAGGAAGCACTAGGGCCCCTTTGGTATTATTTACTTTCTCCAACATGTGGTACTGTTTACTATAGTATATACATTCATTCTCCAGCCTCTAGACACATCCTCTCTACATTTCAGTTCAAAACTCATGGACTCCAAAGATCCATAAATCAGGAACTTGTCTGTGCCACAGTAGGTTCTGCCCAGTACATCAGTGCTCAATTCTTATTTGTTTGACAAGCAAATGGACAAATGAATGGTTTGCTCTTGTGAATGGAAGCAAATACATACTAGGAAAATCAGGTTATAATATAAATATAACAATTTAACATAATTGGTTATATTTAACTTACTATAACCAATTAATATAATATAAATAATATATTTAGTATAATATAAATTTCTACTTGTCCTTACATATTACTCCTAGAAAATCTGTTCCAAATATCAACAGAGAAAATTTTTAAAAAACTTGTAAAAGATCTAGACAGTGTTTGTTACATCTATTTATTCATTTGTGCTCACGTATGCATGTGTATATGGGGTCAGTGGTCAATTTGTGGGAGCTGGGTCTCTCCTTCACCATGTGGGGCCCAGGAATAAAACTTAGGTCATGAGGTTTGGCAGCAAGTGTCTTTATTCAATGAGCTATCTTGGCAGCCATAGACAATGTTTATAAATTCTAATTAACAATGGATCTTTGTAAGTCCACAAGAGTTTTAAGTTCTGACTGGACATTATTTAGCGGGATTGAATTATGTGGCTTAGGAGACTTATATGAGATTCAAATCTAACTGCTTACAGTTTCTGAAACCTAAAATTGAGGAGTTGCCAACCTATTTGAAGGTCGAGGGACGGTGTTCTTGGAAATCTGAAGTAGAAAAGGCAATAAAGATTATTTCAGATCTAGCTCGTGAACCAAACCATGAACAAGTCTCAAAACATTCCAATGTGGTTTCAAACAGAGCCTTAAAAAGTCAAACCCCGGAGAGAGCAGGACTAGAGAACCCCCCGGGAGAATGGGTGAGTTGGAATGAGGGTTTCAAACTGCATAATGGGATTCTGAAGTGGAGGAACGAGTGTTAAATGGAGCCACTAAGAGTAAGTATCACTTTGTAGCAATGAATGCTGCTCCGGCTTTCTGCTGGAGTACATTTAAATGCTCAAATTAAGCCATTAGAGGGCTCACCCAGGACTATGGTTCTCACATTAGTCCTCCCTTAGCCTCTTCGATACGGTTCCATTAAGCACTGACCAAGGAGGTAGTCTTGAGAGAAGAGCAGGGACCAAGGGCTGCTGGAGGAGAGCTGAAGGCATCAGAGCAGTCTCAATTGCAAACCTTTATAAAGTCTGGAAACAAGTGCAGGTTTCAAGAAAAATTATATTCAGGTGGCAAAGGAGAAAGGCTGTGGGTTGCTGTGGTCAGGGGCCAAAGGAATGCCTGACTCTAGGTAGTGTTACAGAGTTTGTCTCCATGGGACTAATGAAATTCGTCCTCCTGACAATGAAGAATACCTTTCTCTTGTCCAAGGCTAAGTTGAGTGCCTTGTTCTAAGAGCACACGCTTTTCTTTTGCTTTTCTTCCACCAAGGAGAAATATGGGGTGACATGTGGAAGAACTGCCCGGAACACAAGAAATCCCAATGCCTGAGTTCATGCTCCCGAGTTTCCAGTTTCCTTTCTCTGTAGATCTTCACTATGAATGGTGGTACACAGTGAGACTTTGTACACACACACACACACACACACACACACACACACACACACTGCAGGGGGGAGAAGAAGAGAGGAGAGATGTGTAAGTTGTGTAATAACTTTGCAAATAAACCAATTTAAAAACTGCCAGATGCATTGAACCAACTTACTGGCTAGAAGCTCTGGAAAGCAGGCTAGGGCATTCCAACTACAGGATCCTGATGGAGAATGCAACCAATTAAAGTGAGATCTTGCCTTTAAACAAGCTGTTGACTTATGTAAGTTGGGCTGGGAGGCTTCATTGTAGAGACTCATTTACTGGTGTTTCAAAGTCCTGCCAAAAATAATGGTAGCATTGCCTTTTAGCTTTTCCTTTGATGCCAGGTCCTACTTGCATTTAAAAATATTTTTAGTCAGCCATAGCCGGAGTTCTAAGGAGAGTCTAAGTCTGGTAAGTTTCTCCTTTGTTCCCAGTCTTTTATTCTAAACCTGGGCAAAGAGAATTCATTTTTAAAGCACGTATTAAATTTCTCAAGTGCTATTGAATTGTTTGGAAGAAATGAATGAATTGGTACAATACCAGGAACCATAAAAGTAAGTTGTTTAGAAAACTTGCTTTGTCTTTCTGGGCCACAATTCAAACACTGATAAAAAGGTCACGCTTGATTTAGATTACTCCAAGCCATAATCTTCTGCTTCAAAAACAAAATACCGGCATCAGTAAAGTGGCAATCAGAAATTAGAATGTCTTTTGAAAATGACAAGGTTAGTCTTTTGTCATATATAAGCATATTAGACAGCAGTATTTTTTAAATGTTTATAATTAATGGGCCTTGAGATCAAAGCCCAGGGCCTTGCAGGAGCTTAACCATTGAGCTACCATTCTGTCATCTCTCTCTCTCTCTCTCTCATCTATCTCTCTATCTATCATCTATCTATCTATCTATCTATCTATCTATCTATCTATCTATCTATCTATCTATCTATCTATCTATCTATTCATTATCTATCATCTATCTATCTATCTATCTTCTATCTATCTATCTATCTATCTATCTATCTATCTATCTATCTATCATCTATCTATCTATTTATCTATTTA